CAGCACGAACTAAGTCAGACTCAGGGTCTGGACCGTCAGGAAGAGAGGACGCAGGAGGAGACGGCAGAGGGAGCTCGCGGTGGAACAGAGGAAGGACGAAGTGTCATATTGTGAGTGCCAGGGACAGGAGGAGGACGCGGACGTGGAACACGACTACCAGTGCGACCAGTGCGAACAGGCGAGGCAGGACGAGACGCAGGCTTACGACGCTCTGTAAGACCTCCGGACTGCTCAGTGTAAGGACCAGGAGCACGCAGTGGGGAGGCTGGCTGTAACTGCGGCTACGACTGGTCAGGCGGTGGATAGTATAAGGGAGGAGTAAGGGCAGTAGAGGACGGGAGACCAAGAACCTGCTGAAGTAGTGGAACGAAACGGTCGCAGCCGCACAGTCCCTCCAGAACTAGCACCAACAGCACCTGCACCCCCAGGGCCAGCGCCTCCAGCTCCGGTGTCTCCAGCTCCAGCACCTGCAGCACCTCCTGCAGCTCCAGTGCCTCCACTGTGAGCACCTCCGCGACCAGCGGCTCCAGTACCTCCAGCAGCTCCAGCTCCAGCGCCTCCAGCCCCACCTCCTGCAGCACCTCTAGCCCCAGCAGCTCTAGTACCTCCAGTACGAGCACCTCCGGGACCAGTGACTACAGCACCTCCGCTACCTCCAGTGCCTCCAGGACCAACAGCTCCAGTACCTCCAGCTCTAGGGCCTCCAGCTCAAGGGCCTCCAGCGGCAGGCCCCCTTGCTCCAACAGCGCCGCTCTGAAGGCTCCAGCGCCGAGCAAACCACTCGCGCAGCTGTGGTGGAGAGAGAGGCTCCCGCCGTGACAAGGAACCCGAAGGAGCCCCAGTAGACAAAGTACCTCCAGGCTTAGGACGCTCAGGCTTAGCACCCCCAAGCTTAGCACCCCCAGGCTCCGCACGCTCAGGCTCAGCACCCTTAGACTCAGCAACCCCAGGCTCAGCACCCCCAGGCTCCGCACGCTCAGTCGCAGCACCCCCAGGCCCCGCACCATCCGGCTCAGCACCCCTAGACGCAGCACCCCTAGCAGCACCCGCCCCCAGCAGCACCAGAGTCGACAGCTACCTCGACAGGCTCGACAGGGTCTACCTGGGACACACCTGAGGGAGCAGGACCCTGAGGGGGGAGGGGGTCTTCCGAAGGAGGACCTGGTGCAAGGAAGAGCGACGGGGGGGGGGAGAGGGGCAGTGCGGTAGGGGAAGAGACGGTAAAAGGGAGCCGACTTGTCAAACGTGACGTCCTGAGAGGGCAGGACACGGCGCGAGGTGGGGTGGTAAAACTGCCAGCCTGGAGCGTCAGGGGGAAAGCCAAGGAAGACGCAGGGAATGGCGCGGGAGGAGAGCTTGTCTACGGAGGTATCGGGGATAAAGGCACGAGATCCCCAGACCCGGAACACCGACGCATCGCCAACCTCTCCCGTCCTCCTCGCTGAGTTCCAGCAGCTGGATGCTGGGAAGCCGACTGTCCTCCGTGTGGACAACAAGTCGGCCATCACGGTCGCCGAGGGGCATGGGGTTGACGGGCAACCTCAAGCACATGGAGCGGCGACATGCTTGGCTGCAGCACATTGTGAAACGCGGGAAGTTTTTTGCTGAAGTACATCCCGACCACTGAGCAGCCGGCCGACTTCGTGACGAAGGCGCTGCACTACCCGGCCTTCAATCGGTGTTCCGTCGCAATTGGCCAGGTGCGCTTGGTCGACGTGGGCGACGACGACAACAATGTGAAGCAGTAGGTGCCATGCCCTCTTGCATGGCTGGTGCGGTGACCGGCGTGCTGTGTGTTGGGTGCACGCCGACGGGCTATTCTCGGAGCTGTACTGCCGTGTGGGCCGGTGGCCCAAGCGTGAACGCGGCAGGGGAGTGTCAACGGGAGTTGTTGTTGGCCCCATCCTCGCTT